TATTTAAACATGTTATCAATACTTATTTTAGCCTATTTACGTCAAAAAAATTCAAATAACTTTAAAAACTACGATTATGACAATTGTCACTTATCTATGGTACATCTTCAATAAATTTTATTTAAACATGTTATCAATACTTATTTTCGTCAAAAAAATTAAAACTTTAAACATGTTATCAATACTTATTTAAACATATTTTCGTCAAAAAAATTAAAAAAACTTTAACGATTATGACAATTGTCACTTTTCATTGGTGCATCTTCACTAAATTTATATTTACACATGTTATTAATACTTAATACATAAATTTAAATTAGAGTAAAACAGGAAATAATTTAAGAAATGAATTAAACTTCAACATACAATGTGTTAGAAAAGAGCGCCCAAATAAATTATAAAAAAAATGTAATACTTTGATTTATAAATTAAAAAAAATTTTTAAATAAATATCGCGACCGGCGAAATTTCGAGATTTCATTAAAGGAAAGCCTCGAGGAATTCGAAGTCTTTCTCTGTGAAATGGAAAAGGGTAGAGAATGGCCAAGGTAGATTGGCACCTCGATTTAAGGTATGTAGGCAACGAAATTAAATAAAGGGTTAGATTAAGGAGAGGTTTTCAAGGATCTATAGCCTGTAGAAAGAGGGAGTTAGAGTGTTAGGAAGGTTTACTTATTATGGCATAGTAGACATGAGGATATGAACGCGCTATTTGAAAGTAATGAAGGTACAATACTAATCCCACCAGTAGTGTTGCGTAATCGGCTAATTTTAGCCGACTATAAAACGGCTTAGCCGAGATTTCATGTGAATAAATCGGCCAAACCTAATTAGGCTAAGCCTAAAAATTTGCTAAAATAAAATAGTCAAAAATTCTACATCGATGCCTAGCATTAATTATTATTTATTTATTTTAGTAAAACAATTTATTTTATTTATATTTAATGTAAATATTTTATTATTATCAACAAATAAACAAACATGATATGATTTAATATTTTTTATTTATATTGTTATATTTTGAAATGAAAATAAATTTATTTATTTGATGTTTTTTTAATAAAAAAAATAATACGCATTGTAAAAATGTAATATTCTTTTTTAATATAATTTATTAGTGATTTTCACAATCTTCTTTGTAAATACATCTTTTATTGAAGAATTATATTGTAAATTTTATTAGATAAATAAACAATCTTTTAGGTGAAATCTTTTATAATTTTTTTAAAATTATCTATTTTTTATTAAATGAGGTGGATTTTATGAAACTTTTTTGATGATTTTATATGATCTTTTTAAGGATAATATTTTAATGTGACAATTGTCATAATCGTTATTTTATAATTTTTTTGAAGATATGTTAAAATAAGTATTGATAACGTGTTTAAATAAAAAATCCAGTAATGGAAAAAATTCTTTCGCTGGATGTGCTAGCAGGTATACAAAGAACCTTCTTAGCTAAATTAGCAAGCCTAGGAATTTTCCGTCGCTTTTTCTTCCAAAAGGTTGAGATCCTCTTCTGGGATATTATGTTGGTTGAGCAAAATATCACATTCTTATTCTAGATTACTAATATTGTTATAATCGTTGCCTGGAAGGTAAGGTTTACGGGCTATTTTAGCTGTATAAGAACTGGATGCTTGCCCATTATCTTCAACTTGAATCTCATTCTATGCATTTCTATCATGTTCTAAAAGTTTTAAATGTCTAATTAAAAATTCCAATGAGGTCGTAAAATTCGAATTAAAATATTCTGAAACAATTTTAAGATTTTGAAATCTGGGATCAATTAGAGTCCCTAAATCTAATGTTTAAAATATAATTTTATTAATAAAATTATTAAATAACTTGAAGTTCAGTGATGGGAAACCTATGGTCAAGCTTTTTTCTCATATTTTCTTTAAGCAAATATTATCTAAGCAATCAGATCTATTACTTTAGGGTTTCTATTTCACTGCAAAATAATAATCCTAAGTTAATTGTCGATCTTTTGTGGGAGAAAAAAAATTCCACCATCTGTGGGATTTAATACTGCTTAAAGCTCATCAATCATATCCCATTCATTATTAAAGAGTTTTAAAGATTGTTTTCCTATTTTATTTAGAACATTATTTATAGGAATTTTGTTTAGCGAGCACTTTCTAGCATAATGTGCCAGCGGGTAGAGCAATTTAATTTTAAAGTTTTTGTATTTTGGTGCAATACCATTTCTATTATCCGATTCATCAGACATATCAAAATGATCATCAAAATATGGATCATAATCATCAATATCAAATATATGACCTGTCGCATAAATTGACTGCAGACATCGATGCTCATCCTCAATTTCACATTCCAAATCAGCTACTCGATATCTGAGGGCTGAAATAATTTCTCTAATTTTTTTTAATGAGAATATCAATAAAATGGATTATGTTTATCCGAATCTTCCTCATCTTTTTCAATCAAACATTATAGTGCTTTTTTTTATTTTCTTTCAAAATAAGATTTCCAATTTACCTCAAAGTCCATAAAAAAATTAATATGTATTGTTTGTGGGAAATACGATGTATGAATATATGTAAATGATATACACTATTCTATTATATATAGCAATAGAATACAATTCTTATGTTAATTTTATTAATGTTAATATTCAAATTTAAATATAAATAATTAAATATCTAATATATATAATCTCCATAATCAAAACACGATCGTTTTCGTATCTCCCTAATAAAATTTAAGGAGACTATATAATGTAATGTTAATTTTTTTTGCTATCTACGAGAGTCGAACCACAAACCTCCCGTTTCAAAGGTCTATGCTTTAGGCATGCACCAACTTGAATATAATTAAATTTAAAATATTAATTAATAGCTGATATTTTTAAAATTTTGCCGTTTATTACCATAACTAGCTGACGGTGTTGAAGTTAATTATTTAATTTGTGTGTATGGTACTAAATATATTTTATTAATAAATTTTATAAAATATTAAAATTTAGGAGAAAAAGAGGTAAAATTGTTGCAATACAGTGAGCATAAAAGTATTAGAAATATCAAAATTTAAATATGTCATGGAAATCATATTGGATAAAATTTAAAATAGAGATGCTTGAAGATTTTTGAATTTTAAATGTTAGACATTTGGCCTGAAATTTTTTTTTGCAGACATAGCTAGGCCTGATCAAAAAACCAAGGCTCATGCAACTTTCATATTCTGATTGTATTTTTAAATGAATTATGACTTACATATTTTATTTCAGTTCTTAACTACCAAAATTATTATGGTCTTTGGCGGTCTTGAGAAAGTTTTTTCAACATGATTATGAGCATGAATCTGTTGGGAATTTTTTTATATTAGATATTAATTATAATATTTATATGGGTCTCAGATAAAAGCTAATTTAAATATATTTTTACTCAAAAAATAGTATTCACTATTAGTCCTAATGAGTTGGTCTTGGTCTGATCTGAAGTAGGATTGAGCGGGATTAAAAAGAATAAAAAATGAATATGGTTTTTAGAGATTTACCTATCTCCAGGCTTGAGAAAAAAAATTCAAAATTATAACGCGTTGGCGTTGGCCAGGTTTGAGAAAAAATTTTAAAATTATTATGGGTGGGGCTGGGCTTGGAAAATATTTCTATGAATTATATTGGACTGAGCTTAGGGAAAATTTTTCAAAATTATTATCAGCTTGGACGCTTGGGAATTCTATTATCAAATATGGATCAGACATTGACCTAAAACATTTTTTGCAGGCCTGGGGACCTGGCCTGAAGGGGGGGGGGTTATAAAAAATAAAAAGATATTATTTTCAAATAACAGGTAACAACTATCATAAAAGTAGGGAGAAAAACTAACTAATTACCTCTCAACCCCGTCATTCTTGACGGGTTATAGTTTAAATATAATTAAACAGCATTTTAAAAATTATACGCGCCGCGCCGCCGTTATAAAAACATTGGTAGCAAGCCGGCTCGCGCCGATGATCACAATAGGCGGCTGTTCCGGCGTGAGCCGGCGGCGCACAGGTCTAAGCCTGAGACATATCAAGTACAATGACACCATTAGAACTTGAACTCTACCGGTATCTTTCAACCCTTGACATACTGAACTTCACAGTTCTGATAGCAAGCGTTCTTATTTTACCAATCTTGGAAGAAAGATAAATGTATTTATAACTTGAAATTTTTCCTGCTTTGATTTTCTTGAGCTTTCCGCTGTAAATTGCAATGCTCTCGTGGATACTGAGATGTTAAAATCGCCAATATTCGCTAGCATTATCTTCTAGCTTCATATTCCTACTTGCGACGACATTATCGTCGTTTGTCTCTTACGCCCTAACTTTTTTTTAAAGAGTTAAGGCAACAGATCACCACTATGACCGATTCCAACGAGGAATATTATTTCCGGCAGAGGTTGGCTTTAAATATCGTAACTTCATATACTCGATCAATGAGTATCCCTAAATGGATAATAAGCTTATCTAATTGATAACCGGATGCTTATTAAGAATTTTCCGTAGTATTTGCTAAATTTTTTAGTTATTCATAAAATATTTATACTTTAAAAAAGATAATATGCGGACTTGTTTCCTTATAAATGTTTCATTTAAAAATATATTACATGTAAAAATTTATTTATGCTGATTTTTCAAGTTTTTCCTTAAAAATTGAATCGGCGTTGTGCTCTAATTTTACTATAATATAATTTTACATTTGCTAATAAATAAGTAATGTATTCTATAAATTATTAAATAAAAATCTGAATAAATTAATTTGGTAGCGTCTAGAAATATCGGTTATAATTAACAGAAATATTGCGTATCACTTATATATTGCATTATTTTTGAATTGAGTTGATGTTGAGGATATTAGTATTTGAAAAAAGTAAAGAAATAGAATGTAAAGACCGGGGTGGAAATATGCAACCTCATTACTTCTTATATAAGCAGTAAAATTTCATTATATTCTTTTCCTAACCATTTGTTTTACCTCAAAATATATAAAGATCTAGAAACAATCTCGTAAAACCTGATGATACGGAACACAAGAATTTGGATAACGTATTGGTTTTAAATGGTTTTCACAAAGGCAACGATGAGCAAGATTCCCTTAGGGACCAGGAGTGGAACCAATTACAGGATCACCATAAATTTTAAGGGTTTTTTTCTTCAATTAAGCATAATATACTCGTTTTAATATCGAATAAATTCGATCGAATGTCGTAATTTTTTTATACTTTCATATATTTTGTGTATAAATATTAATTTTTAGATATCTCAAAAATCATTTTTTTAAACTTTTGACTTATTTACTCATTTTCGTTAAAATCATCTATTTCATTCCATTTTTTTCAAAACAATTATTCTTTTCAAATATAATCCAAATCTTAAATAGCTCTTGATATTTTTGTGTTTCATTAATTTGGAAAAATATAAATATTTACTATGATAATTTATGACAATTATTTAGTAATATCTTAAGTTTTAAGAAAAAATCATTTATTAATTAAATATTTTTATAAACTATGACTTGATATTTTATTGATTTATGATATTGTTATATAATAATAATTATTATAATATCATTTTTTGTCAATCATTTTCTATGTCCATTTTAGCTAAAATAATTATGACAATTATTATATTATTCTCACAATTCAACGAACTTTTTTTGCTGCCTTAATTTTAAATAGTAGATTTTATAAGTATTAGATTAAATTTTGATTACACAAGTTTTGAATAAGGCGGGAAAATTTTGGACACATTTTCATATGAAGATAAAAGAAGAACTTTTGGCCTGTTTATTATTAAAACGATATATTTTCGTGTTATCTTATATTGTTATTTGTTACTTTTTTTAATCAAATGACGAATTATACAAATAGTTTTTTCTAAAAACAATAAATAAAGTTATAAAAGTGTAATATTATCAAAATTTTAGATCACACATATAGATAGCACTGCAAAATGGTCCGGGCTATGATCAGGATCTTCCCTAAAATTTAATTTAAAAAACGGAGCCTATTAAATATTAATAAAATAGAGAATAATTTTCTCTCCTCTTTTATTATAATAAATAGATAGCTAGAATAATTTAAATTTATTTTGTCAATACTAAATCTTAGGCCGGGCTAGAAATAAATTTAAAATCGGACTCGTGCCAATGATTTTTTTAAAATTTGCTGATATCTCTAGTCTAGATATAAAAAAAATTTTTTAAACAATATACGATGAAAATTTTGTGCTTTTTTTAGAACCGGTTCCTGGGAATTTAAAAAATGGTTTCGGTTTCTACATATTTTAAGAGAGATCTTACCCGGTTTAAAATAACCCAATCCAATTAATTTTACTGGTTATTTTTTATATAGATTATTAAATTTTATAAATTATTAAAAAATAAAATATAACCAACCACATCATTTTATTAGAATTTTTAGTCAATCAAAATATACCACATTTCAAAATATAAATACATTTCGCCAAATAAGAACACAAATGTACTCTTTTTCTTTGGTATTAAATGAAAAATATTCTTCATTTTAAAATAAAGAAGACAATTTTAAAGGTTTATAACTTGCCGTAAACGGAATTTTTTTTAAAAAAATAAGACGGGCGAAAAATATAAAACCCAGACCTTGCAATTAATACCTCTGCAGGTATTTTATATTTATAATGACTCATTCATTCCCATTTTTAAATTTAATTGCAGCATGCTTCATATAACTATTATTATATTACCTATTTTTTGTTATAAAATTAATATCATATTACATATAATAAAATAAAGTCTTTTTTTCAAATCAAATTTATATTAACACAACCTCATAGATATAAATGATAATTTTTAGAGAATGTCTATAATGGATTTTTAGATTAATAATTGATCTATATTATAAAAAGCAGTGAATAATAAAATTGTATATTATATGGGAAAATATCGCCGGGGTGGCCTAGTGGGTTATGATGTAGGCTTGGAAACAGAAGGTCTCAGGTTCGATCCTGGTAAGGAACGTAAAGTTTTTCTTCGATGAATGATGTTTAAAGACATATGGTAAGATGAATTTTGGAGCTTAGAGATGACACCCCGGTCATCGACAGGCTTGGATAGCCAGGTACTAAGGATACTTGTCCAATAAACAAAAATCAAGGACACAAATAAAATACTAATATGAAAGCTAGGGCGTTCCCTCAAAGCGACGCGCAGTGTGTAGACCTCCATCCTGCGAAAAGTAAAATAAAGGTCAAAGCAAAGAAGACAAAGTTAAGTTTGAATATTGGGACACTTAAAGGTAAGACTAGAGAATTGGCATCAATGTTGAATAAGAGAAAAGTTGACATAGCGTGCATACAAGAGACGAAGTGGAGAGGTCAGAAGACTTTAATTATTATAGATGGGTATAAATTGTACTATAATGGAATTCTTAGCAATAGGAACGTTGTCTGCATCATTCTCAGTCAAGATCTAACCTCCTCAGATGTAGAAATCAACAAGATCTCTGATAGAGTAATGAAGATAAAACTCTGCATTGGTCAATCAATACTACACATCCTTTCAGTATATGCTCCTAAACGGGTTGCAAGGAAGAAGAGAAAGATGACTTTAGAGCTATCCTTGATGAAGCTGTAATGGAAATCCCTAAAGATGACCTAATCATATTAGATGGTGACTTAAATGCGCATGTGGGAAAAGCAAGAAACAGCTACAAAAGGCATCATGGTGGTTTTGGATATGGAGAGAGAAAGGATGAAGGAGAGTATGTACTGAAATTTGCGCAAGCCTTCGACCTTGCCTTAAACAACACCTACTTTAGGAAAAAGGAGAGTCATTTAATAACCTATGAAAGTGGTGCAAGGAAAACCCAGATAGATTACATGCTTATCTCTCGCAGAAGATTAAAAGATGTAATAGACTGCAAAGTCATCCCAGTAGAAGATATTGCCGCGCAATATCATGGATTTACACCATACAAAGAACTATGGTGGTGGAATGAAGATGTACAAACCACTATAAAGGAGAAAAAAGCACTATTATGGTACAAATCCAAAAACCCATATGACAAGACAAATTACAAAAAATCCAAGAGAATAGCTACAAAGGCGGTGGCTAGGGCCAAAGCTATGGCATACGATGACATGTATGAAGAACTACATACCAAAGAAGGGCAAAATAAAATATACAGATTAGCCAAACAGCGCGAAAAGAATTCTAGGGATATAAACGGAGCTCCGAAAGTAATCAAAAATTAAGATGGGAAATTGATTTTTTTTTTCCTCTTTAGCTTTCACCTTTTCTGGTGGTAAGCTCCTTCAATATCTCTCTCCACTTTATGTTATTCATACTATCTCTTTTATCTAATTTCTACTTCTTCATATTGGCTCTAATTTTATGGCCCCATTGAAGTTTTGGCCTTCCTCTTTTACGTTTACCCATCACTTCCAAACTTAACTTTTATATGTAATACCACCTAAGTCGGTTTACCATTATCTTAGTCTTAATGGTCACTCAATGACATATAATACCTAGGCTGACGATTCATTCATTAAAATGCATTTTTAAGCGTCGTTAAAAGCAAATCAGCTGGACCGGCCATTTTGGTAACACATATGGTAATTATTCTCATGTTTAAAACTACTATTAAATTGATAACTTGCTTCCTTATTATCCCGATGATCCAGTAATTCTTTAATAAAGTTTACATCAGATATAGGAATAAATTAGGCTCTCGTTTAAAATTTTAATATTAATTAGTGTAACCAAGATGGCGTCACCAGCTGATTTGCATTGATGTACACTTTTAATGAATGAATCATCAGTCTAGGTATTATATATTTGGACATTACCTTTAAACTTCCTAATATTCTTGTACTTCTTACCTTATCCTTTCTTGTTGCCCAGCAATCATCCACAGCATTCTCATCTCCATAGTTTGTAGACTTGTCTCGTCTGATTCTTTGGTTGGCCATGTTTCCGAACTATATAGAATAGTTGGTTGTACTATGGAACTATAAATTTTTCCCTTCAATTTGTGTGGGATTCTTTTGTCAGAGAGCATTCCAGATAAAGATCTCCACTTTATCCACCCTTGATTAATTTTACTCTTTATCTTTTTCTCTATTGTGCCGTTTGTTTGCATATTGGAGCCCAAATATTTGCAGCTTTCAATTGCCGATATCTGTCATTCATTTATATCAATGCTCTCTGTTTCATCTCCATAATAAAGGAAAAAGAAATAATGAATAAATGGAAAGAATATTTTCAGGAGCTTCTCAACTTTAATCCTCACATACTACATCTAAACGAACACTCCCCATGTCAAAACCTTGCACAACCAATAACAAAACAAGAAATAATCACACCTCAAGCATATGAAAAACAACAAAGCTAGGGGTCCAGATGATATTCCAATAGAAAACCTTAAAGCACTAGGAGATGATGCAATACATCTCACAAATCTGTACAATAAAATACTGGGAAATGAATAGATCCCTCAAAAATGGAGGCAGTTCTATCTAGTTCCTATCTTCAAAAATAAAGGGGATCCACACAATTGTCAAAATTACAGGGGCATAAAACTAATGTCACACTGTCTAAAACTATACGAAAAAATAATAGAAAAAAGATTAAGAGATATAATCGAAGTTTGGCTTTATACCTGGAAGATCAACAACCGATGCTATCCATGCAATTAGGCAAATGAGTGAAAAATACAGGGAAAAGAACAAAAAGCTACACATGGTCTTTCTCGATCTAGAAAAGGCCTTCGATAGAATCCCAAGAAAACTTATCTGGTGGGCGCTACGCCACAAAAAAGTTCCCGAAAAATATATAAGAATAATAGAGGATATGTATATGGGACATACAACAATGGTCCGTAGCACAACAGGTACTTCAGCAGGCTTCACAATAGCCGAAGGAGTTCATCAAGGGTCGGCTCTCAGCCCACTTCTCTTCATTACAGTAATAGATGTATTAGCACAGTCTATACCTCAAACAGTCCCGTGGAATATGATATTTGCAGATGATATTGTGATACTTGCCGAATCCAAGGATGAAATGAAAGAAAGGTTAGTGAATTGGATAAATATCCTAGAAACGCACGGATTAAAAGTAAATAGAGAAAAGACGGAGTATATGGTGATAGGAGGAGATGAAACGGAGAGTATTGATAAAACGATTGGCAGATATCCGCAATTGAAAGCTGCAAATATTTGGGCTCCACTATACAAACAAACGGCACAATAGGGAAAGAGATAAAGAGTAAAATTAATCAAGGGTGGTTAAAGTGGAGATCTTTATCTGGAGTGCTTTTTGACAAAAGAATCCCACACAAATTGAAGGGAAATTTACAGTTCCATAGTACAACCAACTATTATATATAGTTCGGAAACATGGCCAACCAAAGAATCAGACGAAAGTCTACAAACTATGGAAATGAGAATGCTAAGGATGATTGCTGGGGTCTAGGAAGTTTAAAGGTAGTGCCCATTAAGACTAAGATAATGGTAAATAGACTTAGATGGTATGAGCATACAATGAGAAGGCCTATGAACTACATAGGAAATAAGTTTGAGAGTTTGACAGTGATGGGTAAACGTTTTTTTATATATTAGTAATAGATGTTGTAGGATTATAGTTTTTCGCGATATTCCATTATTATTGTTATCAGAGACCTGCAGAGGTACCATTTGCATGGCCCGGCCCCGATTTTTTTTAAAAAAATTCCCGGGTTTAAAAATTTTAGGCCTGGCTCGGATATTTAAAAAAAAAATTTGGGGCCTGGCCTGACCCGGATTTTTTTTAAAAAGTATTTAGGCCCGGCTCGGAATTTTTTAAAATTATATTCGACCTGGTATATACAAAAAATTTACCTATTCGGTATTTTATCATATTTTTCGGCGAGTATTATCATTTAATAAGCAAGTATAGTAGCTAATGTTGTAAAACGGCTTGTTTTGAGCCGATTTTTAAAAACGGCTACCTCAATATTTTTGCCAGAAAAATATCGACTAAGCCTCGAAATTTCGATACTATATGTCTAGACCTTTGCTCCTTCTATGAGCTAAATTTTCAGGCTTGCATAATATTTTTCTGGATAAAAAACTGAGTTAGCTGTTTTTAAAAATCGGCTCAAAACGAACCGTATAACAACAGTACGACATATTTTTTTTATTCTAAAGAGATATTTAGTATATTACAAATTGATACTATAAAAAATTTGCGTAAATAATATTTTGAGAATATATTATATTAATTGTATTTATAAAAAAATTAAAACTGATATTTTAATTAATAAAAAATATAGAATATATAATAATGTATTTAATCATTTGCGTATTTAATCCATGGCAGGAAAACTATAATTATATTATGTAATAGATACTATGAGTGTTAGCTAGTAAATTTCACCCAACATTATATTAATCATAACTATATATAATCATTATAACCATATCTAATTGACGAATATAATAATTCATGTTGTATAAATTTTTTTAAAAATTTTACGGCCCGGCCCGGGTATATTTTAAAAATTTAAAATATGGCCCGGATCGGGTAGGTCTCTGATTATTATTATGCTTTGTGTTAGTTTTTTGTTAAAATATAAAAACAAATGTTAAAAAAATAATAATAAATTATTATTGTTTTTTTTATTTAATTATAAATTGTGATAAAGTAAAAAATAGAATCATTATTTTTTGTTTTTAGATTTTTTTTGTGTTTTTGTTTAAAATTATAAAAGAAAAAAAACCTGAGAAAAAAAAACATTATTTGTTAAAAATAAGGGAACCCAAAATTAAATATCCGATTTCATTGTTCTCCATCTTGAGTAATAACTACCGAAACCTAGATAAACTTGATAGTGAACAAAAGCATTATTACGTTCCAATCAAAAAAATATGTACTGCTACCTAAAAAATCTATTTTCCTATATTAATTATTTTTTTCTTTAGCTTTCAACTTTTCTGGTGGTAAGCTCTTTCAATATCTCTCTTCACTTTATGTTATTCATACTATATGTAATTTATACTTCCTCATATTGGCTCTAACTTTATGGCCCCATTGAAGTTTTGGCCTTCCATTTATATCTGAATCGGACAAACTACACGACAGTTAGGGGTTGGTTCCAGGTTTTTATCAATTCACTTCAAAGATGCTCATTGGGGTAATATTTGTTTGGAAATTTATTTTATTAATACATAAGGAAGTTAAATATATATCACCTTAATGTACTATCACTCAAATTTCATCTTTCTCAATTAGAATGAATAACTTATATAAAATTTTAGTTAGTTAGATTTCCTATCTAAAACATGTGAAATATAATTAAAATAGAATTGGATTGGATTGTTATATAGATCATGGGTAAAAGATAGTAACATGGAACATCTGGGGAAGCCTAGTAGTGTTGTTAAAAAGCCGAATACGGCTCCAAAAAATTGGCTTAGCCTCAAGCCGGCTAGGGTTAGGAATGACAGAGAAGGGCCTTTTTCAGAGAATAACTAGCAGGGAAGGGGTTGTAAATATGTTACAAGATGGGATAATTAATGATCCTTGTCCGAGAGTGATGATTAATTTAGAGGGGAAAATTATTCCCATGTTGTTTGATACGGGGGCAGCTATTTCAGTAATTGGATATAATAGATATCAAAGTATTTGGCCAGGGGATATGATGGAGAATGAGAGGTTAAGGATAAGACAGTTTTATGGGACCCTGTGCAATGGGTAAGGTGGAGGTAATAGCAAAATTGGGGGAAAGAATTGAAGTATTAGATTTATGGATTATCAATCATAATATAGAAGCTGTGTTGGGATGGGACTGGATCACTAGGATTGGTCCGTGGTATGGTTTTTGGGGGGTATTTTCATGGTGGGGTGTATTTGTACCAAATATAAGTGAGGAGTATGCGGTTATGACGTTTGAGGGCGAAAATGGAACGTCGGGAGTTGAGACTATATTGAATTCTGAAACAAGGGGAAACAATTCTAGGAAACAAGGGGGAATAATTCTAGGAGCGGAACAAGGGGAAATAATTCTGGGAGCGAAACAAGGGGAAATAATTTTAGGAGCGAAACCAGAGGAAATAATTCAAGGGGTGAAACAAAGGGAAGTAATGTTAGGGACAGAGTAGGAGAGATGAAGTCTAAAAGTGAAATCGGGGTAAAGAATTCTAAGGAAGAAATAAGAGGAAATAATTATAGAGATAAATCAAGAAAAATTTACCCGGGGCACGTTGGAGCTGTTAAGGAATATCGTGATGTTAAGAGAGGGAAGGAGGAAGGAAATACGGGGAAAAGGGATATAGGGCCGCCTAAAAAATCGAGATATGAATAATGCGCAAACCCAAGAAAATCGAGATGTGAATAATGCTCAACCCCAAGGAAGTCGGGAAGTGATTCATGCTCAAACTCAAGAACATCGGGAAGTGATTAATGCTAGGACACAAGAAGATCGGGCTAAGACTCAAGGAAGTCGGGAAGTGATAAATGCTCAGACCCAAGGAATTCGGGAGGTGATGGAGGCTAAGACTTTGCACGATGAAGAGGCGTTGCTAATTGATGAGGATGGAAAAAAATTGGGAATAGGCAAAGTGCAAGAAGGAGCCCGAAGATTAGTACAAAATTATCAAGTGATTTTTAATGAAGATTTAGGTTGTCTCAAAGATTATGAAGTAGATATTAAGTTAAAGGATGGTTATGTTCCAAAGTATTGTGTGTTGCGAAGGATACCTTTTGAGTGGTGGAGAGAAGTAGAAAGGGAGTTGGATCAATGGGTAAAGAAGGGTATTGTATGTCCTATAGAGTACAGTGAATGGGCGACCCCGTTGATACCAGTGAAGAAAGCTAATGGAAAACTCCGTCTATGTGCAGATTTCCGGGTCACGCTAAATCCGTGGGTCGTGGAGGTCAAATATCCGTTGCCGCTTATTGAAGAAATATTGGCCAGTTTAAAGGGAAGTATATATTTTTCAGGTTAATGATGCTTGGTACCATAAGGTACCATCTATCAAATTTGAATTTTGTTCATTTTTCATTTGGATAGGCACTACCAAATATATTTATAATATATATTTGAAAAATTGTGATTTTTGGAAAGCCTCTATGGCCTAGTAGGCAAGAGCTTGGCTTACTTATCCTATGCTCCCGGGTTCGAATACCGGGAATGATCATGTTTTTTTTCTTATTCTAACTTGGTGGTTCCATCCTTGGGGGGATGATATATAGAAGGCCGGACTCGACCACATGATTCCGTATTAATATATTAAATAATAAGGGACTTATTACATTTTAATAAATTTTTGTCGGTATTTAGCAAATTAGATTGGTATTTAAAATATTTCCATACATTCACTTGGTAGTAAGCATCATTAACCTATTTTTCAAAGGTTGATTTCTCTAATGCGTACCTACAGTTGCGGGTGAAACCGGAGGTGAGAAAGTTATTAACGATTACGACCACAAAAGGGTTATTTGCGTTTTGTAG